GGGAGGGAAAACAATAAATTGATTTTTGTATCTCCTCGGTATACAAGTGCAGGATCCGGGCAAAAGGAATATATATATCCAGAGCGTTCGCTTGCTCGCACACGCCCCGATAATTATGAAATTTGAGGCAAAGAAAATCTAAAAAACCCAAAAATAAAAGAAACCAAATTTCTACAGAAAGCAAAAATCAATTTATGAAGCGAACACGCCCCGAAAACTTTGGACGAACGACGTTTAACTGCAAAACGCCCAACTTCAAGGCGTGTCCGAGCAACAGACATTTGAAAGGATACCAAGCAAAGAGGACGAAGGACAATGCCGGGCAGCAACATATGCGAAAGGGATAATAATTCACCGGCCGAAAGGCGATGGGAACAATGGTCGCATAACTCAGGCGCGCCAGATGAAGTAAGGACATCTAGGGATACAGCGAGCTGGCCGACCGCATTATGGACTTGGGATCGGCCCTAATTCAAAGGACACGCGCACAGCGGGATATGTGCGATGTCCTTTCGCCAGCGTTTGATGTGCGGCGGCGACTAGAAATTGACATTTAATGAGCAGAATCCTCGCTCCCACGCAGCCCGAGGCAAGTTTTATTTCCACACTAAAACCAAAAAATTACAAAAACATATAGTTATGATCGGTAGTCCTTTTTTTGTATATTTAAGCACTGGATTAAATTCTTATAATTAAAAATGTTGCATTATTATTTTATAGTATAATTAAAGAAATAATTAAGCTTTGTTCAAACACATTTATTTTTAAAGATTTGTACTTAAATTATAATGAAATGAATTTAATTTTCAATCATTCTAAAAAGTTTATAATGTTTTAGAAGCATAACATATTTTTAGTTGACACTTAAGACCCAAATGCTTTTTTATCTTTAGAGATTACACTGATTTTTTCTTGAGTGTATTCATAAATCCCGGCTAGCCAGGACCTCGTTTGCGCAACACCTTTTGTTATCGCCGAAAACACTTGTCCTGGGGTCCAGTGCTCCTTGCTGCTCAGTCGGTTGGCAAATATTACATTGTTACCTGGACTGTCGCTTGTTTGTTGTCTGGTGTCCGTCTGGTCGATGGGGATTTTCGATTAGCTCTCACACATATCAAAATCGGACGTTAATTGTTTTCAGGTTCGTGGCATGTCAACAGTTTCGAGCACGTCGCCGAGTTCACCGAGGTTTTCTGCTCGATTTATCTGTCTAGCCGGTTAAATTTTATGGATTTCATTTGTTTGCTTGCACTGAGATTGCAACAATTACTTATGGAGCATGGTTGCAAGGTAGGGTCTAAATGACCGGTTTTAAGGAGTGTTAAAATATTTTTCGTCTTTAAGCCAAAGATATTAATGGACTGATTGTAATTGTCATTTAACCTAGGAAAAACTTGATTTAAAAAAGTCTTAAAATTTCAATAACTTTAATTTAAAAATTGTTGAAATAATTAAAACTAGGTTTCTAGATATTTCAGCTTGTTAAAATAATTTAGTCTTTATATTTTTTTAACATCAAAGTGCTATCAATCTGGCATTTCTTTTCTCGCAAGCAATTTGTACTTGCAATTAAAATCAGAGTTTCCTCATTTCACACACATTAACTTTGGATGGAGGGCTCCCAAATCGCTTGACTTTTGCGCTTTTGTTTGCCCTTCCAATGAATTAAAATCCCCGGCACACACGCAAACATATCAGCGTAAAGCAAACAAGTGCTGAGGCGAGACAAGGGTCCTCCACTTTGACCACATTGCGGCCAAGTACTGGTCGAATTTTGGCCCAAGTGCACCAGCTGTTGTTGCGATCCACCCACCCAAGGTCCAACCACCCATCCACCCGTCCACCCACCACCTTGCAGCCACCACAAATTCCACCCGCGAAACAACCGACTGAATTCTAATAATTTTAAACAAAAACAAACTTCCTGGCCACATGCCTTATGCCTCATGCCCATGCACTACGGCATTACAGAAATTACAATGAGCGAGTTTAGAGAATTCGTTTCGAAATTTCACGCTACCGTCTGTGACGAAATTTTGTTTTTTTTTTTTAACAGCAAAGGACAAGTGCAGCGTCGCAGGATGAGTCACCCCCTTTTTCTGAGGGCAACCCCCGGTGGCAAGTGGAAAAAGGTTGCAATACGAAACCGAATCCGAAACCCAAAAAAGCATCGCAACCCCGTAGACACACAGTTGCTACTTTTAATCAGCATGAAAGTTCCCGTTCTGCCCGGCTGTTCAGCTATTTAAGAGCCCCGGAGATTCCCCCGAATTAAAAACTCAGCCGAAAATGAAAATTTCTATACTGCGTTAGTTCGCTTTTTTGTTGGAGGCGAAATAAATGAATGCATGAATTCCAAAGCAATTTTGATGTTGACATTGAGTAATGTTGGCTCCGTTCAGCCTGGCTGCCTTATTCCCCCGTTTCATTTGGTGGGTGGTTGTTTGGTTTGGCATTTTCATATCATTTTCGAATATTACATGCGGATTAGCATTTCCTCATCGGGATTGCAACAAAACGTGTGCCCATCTATTGGGGGCTTTTGTGGGGTGATTTGGGCTTTGGGATGGGGAGCAGTCCAAAAGGGGGTGGCTCACTGCAGTGGGGGGTTGTGGGTGGTTTGGCCCTTTGTCTGGGGGAGTGTGCTGTCGATTACCCTCGGAAGGTGTTTTTTAGTATTCTTAAAGGTTTTTGTTCAAAAGAAATTAAAGTTTTTAGGAAAAGACTGAAGAAGGGAAATTGACACAGGAAGGAGAGGAAAATCGATGGTTTTGGAAAAAGAACTTACACAATATCCAGACTAATTATAGGTAAAACTAAATTAATAATAATGTTTGGAATGTGAAGATTTATCTAATTCATTCCCTTTTTATTCAAAATAATAATTTATATGAAAATTTTAGGGCATAAGAAAATCGTTTGTTTAATATGAAGAGGGAAAATAACTCCACCAAGCCAAAGTTTATACAGCTTATCTAGATTTTTTTGCGCATACGTATAAAAACAATGAAGATAACTCATTTCCTAACACATTTTCGATCGCTTTTATGGCCACTATATGAAATGGTCGACCGAGATATCAAATTAAAACTGTAATTCTGATTGCCTTAATAATTTCCGTCATATCCGTCAATGTTGAAAAACCACGAAGTTATATTTTTTTAATTTGTTTTCCCGATTGTTCCAATGTGAGCTATATAGTCATCTGATCCCTCCCGTTCTGAAAATTTTATTTATAATTCTAAATGAATTTAATAATTCATATTACATACCAAAAATGGTAGATAGTTTTAAACTTTAATTAATTGCATTTATAGTACGCCAAATTTATAATATTATTTTTCATAATAATCCCTCATTTAATGGAAAGCTCTTAAAATGATAAATAAAAAGTTTTCAATTCCACTGAAAACCTCCAGCACCGCATTTCATTTATAGTTTCCAAAACTCAAATAGCTTTCCTCATTTTCCGTCTTAAGAAAACTTGGCATAATCTTAGCCTTATACCTTCAACAACTTTTGGCTTTTACAACTCGACTTTCGGACAAGTTTAAGGAATTTTCCAAATCAACAGCCTTTCAGAAACCGAATGGACGTGAAAGGGGAATTTAAGGGGGGAGGGTGGTCGGAAACCCAACGTCGAACTAACTTTTCAATTTTCTTTTCACGCTCGCATTTTACAAGCTGCCACATGATTAGGGTCAATGGTTGCAAGGCCCCTCCGTCCCACTCCCCCCGAAAAGTGTAACAAGCTGCCAAATTTCACACTCAGTTCCTGATTCTGAAATAACTCGAACGAACACCTAACGAAGTCAAAGTTTGGGGGCGGGCGAAGGGGAGTCGGTATCTCTCAATCTTGTCATCACTGCGATTGTAATCATAATCACATTCACTGAAAATTTTATTATTAACTGACAGTTTATTAAAAACTCATTGGGCTGCCTGGCCTGCTCTGATTTGTTTGCCGGGATTGCTGTTTGCTTTTGGTCCTGTCCCTTGTTTGTTATCGAGATCATGGACACATGTCCGGGGATGGCTGATTACCGACGCTAGATAAATATTAAGCAACTATATGGAGGGTTTCCCTTGGATTTGGAGAAGGATTCGGGTGACGACATCATCGGGGGCTTCCTCCTCCTCGCCATAATTGATGCCCTGCCAAAGGGCACTGAGATGCTCCCCCAACTGGTAATGAAATTTTGGCTTCGAGTGCTATCAGCATATATACTCGAATACGGGGGATTCCCCCAGTCAGCCAACTCCTCTCAAGTTGTTATTGTTGTTGTTTTGGCACGTGGCACATGCAACGTGGCCAGGAAACGCGCTGAAATTGAATTTTATTTTTATTTTAGTTGAGAGTTTTTGTTTTTTTTCGAGCCCCGGGGTCTTGGCGTAATTACTTCTGTCCTCTGTTCCAGCATGTGATTAGATTTTCCAGTAAAACTTTATTCAGCTTTGTTGTCGCTCGACGATAATTAAAAATGATTAGCTCATAAATATTTTCTCCTGTCGAGGGGGAGATTTATAAGAAGGTAAATAAACAGATATTTCAGATGCCCCGAAGTAAAATTCTTGGAAACTTTAGGGGTTGCAATTCGAAGGGGTAAAAGGTTTTTAATAAATTTGATAACCATTAAAAGAATAAAACATAATTATATTGCAGTTGTATTATATCAAATTTCTTATATATTAAATATGAATATTCAACTTTTGGTTCTCACAAATACATAACGTCAGCATTATTTTCAAAGTTTACCTCCCAGTAATTAATTTAAACAAATATATTTTGAGCCTTGAAATAATATGAATAAACTATAATTAATGCCTCTTACTAAACATCAATAACATTCTTATAATCATGAGCCTAAAGCAGCAATTTTACAATACATCGGTTGAATAGGAGTGTCATTTATTTTTCTTTTAATGAGATGGAAAGTTTTAATTTACTTTTAACAATAACTTCTGATAACGTGTTTTATTAAAAAAGAAAAAGAACTCGTTTATAATTCCAAGATGTCGGCAATATTTTTGCAGGTCATATCATCACACCGTCGTAAAATCACTGTAATATTAATTTAGTAGAAGAACAAGAAAGGAAAGCTAACTTCGTGCGGAGCCGAAGTTGAAATACCCTTGCAGAATATTCTGCAAATTATATTCTCCAAAATCATTCATAATGCATTCTTAATACTCATAAAAAATCCCAACTTCCTAACTTTAAAAACACCAAAGTTATGGCATTTCCAATCGTTCAGTTATATGGCAGTTATAGAATATAGTCGGCCGATCCTTATGAAATTTAATATGTCGGATTGATTAGGCAAAAATAAAACCCATAGAAAATCCCAACTTCCTAACTTAACAAACACCAAAGTTATGGCATTTCCGATCAATCAGTTATATGGCAGCTATAAGATATAGTCGGCCGATCCTTATGAAATTTGGTACGTCTGATTGATTGGCCAAATATAAAACCCATAGAAAATCCCAACTTCCTAACTTTACAAACACCAAAGTTATGGCATTTCCGATCAATCAGTTATATGGCAGCTATAAGATATAGTCGGCCGATCCTTATGAAATTTGGTACGTCGGATTGATTGGCCAAATATAAAACCCATAAAAATCCCAACTTCCTAACTTTACAAACACCAAAGTTATGGCATTTCCGATCAATCAGTTATATGGCAGCTATAAGATATAGTCGGCCGATCCTTATGAAATTTGGTACGTCGGATTGATTGGCCAAATATAAAACCCATAGAAAGTCCCAACTTCCTAACCTAACAAACAGCAGAGTTATGGCATTTCCGATCAATCAGTTATATGGCAGCTATAGGATATAGTCGGCCGATCCCGGCCGTTCCGACTTATATACTGCGTGCAAAGGAAAGAAGGGTGTGTGCAAAGTTTCAATTCGATATCTTTAAAACTGAGAGACTAGTTCGCGTAGAAACAGACAGACGGACAGACAGACGGACAGACGGACAGACGGACAGACGGACAGACGGACAGACGGACAGACGGACAGACGGACAGACGGACATGGCTATATCAACTCAGGAGGTGATCCTGATCAAGAATATATATACTTTATAGGGTCGGAGATGTCTCCTTCACTGCGTTGCACACTTTTGACCAAAATTATAATACCCTCTGCAAGGGTATAAAAATGGAACTAAGTGAAAAACTCACAAAGGCAGGTAGCTTTTTCCATTTCACATCGAGATACGTTGTTCCATCTTCCTCGTCGCTCTCGACGACAATGTCGATTAAAGGAATCTATAGTCTCATCAAATCGTCCTATTCTAGGAGTAAATCGTTGACAATCACTGTACACATTCTCACAGTATTCTCGATCCGATTGAGCTTCAATATAAGACAAGTGCAGGACACAAAGGACTGCAAAGGAAGATGTGTCATATTGCGATAATAAAAATATATAACTCTTACCCAAAAACAGCAAAATTTTACACATTTTTAATAAATATAAAATATTTAATCTGATTCATGAATATCTGTGAGGTGGTATTTATATAGGGGAAATATATCAAGATTCATTGCCAGTTCACATAACAAAAGGCACATATTTTTTATTTATTTGCATTCAGGTGGCTCTTTGATTATCACTTTAAGACTCTCCTTGCTCTGATTTAAAGTGAATAATTTCATTGTTTCATAGAGTATTTCCCAGGTGTTTTCTTTCTGATCGGCAGTGTATAAAACCAGATGCATGATCCTCCCTCCATCAGTTGATATACGTCAGATTTATTCAAAATGCGGTGTCTCTGCGTTTTTTTGTTGATCCTCATCCTTTATTTCTTTTCAATAAAGGCGCAACGTCTGAATTGCAATAGGATTCGTGAGAATTGTCAACCATGTATGAGACGTTTGGTGGATCCCATCAACGATCTGGAATTTATAAATAGAGATTGTAGGGAAAAAGTCGGTGAACGTTGGATTTGGCGTGATGTAAGGCGTTGTGACATGCAAATTGTTGCCTGCGAAAGTAAGACCTCAATGAAGTGGAAATTAAAACATCAATATACAATATATATTTGCAGATCACGACAGCAAACTGGATTGTGATACTGTGGCCAGGTTGGCAGGAATGAGAAGACGGCGTTGAAGTGATTAGGTTTTAATTCAAAAGACTTGAAAAGAAAGAAATATGCTAAGCCATATTTACAAATATTAACAAAAAATGTATTAAACAACATATATTTGAAGAAAGTTTAAGTAACGTAATATACAACAAAAATAACAATTTAGTAAAAAACTAATTTAATTTCCAAACGAAAATAAAATTTTCACTGATAATATATTATTGTTTTTATACCCTTGCAGAGGGTATTATAATTTTGGTCAAAAGTGTGCAACGCAGTGAAGGAGACATCTCCGACCCTATAAAGTATATATATTCTTGATCAGGATCACCTCCTGAGTTGATATAGCCATGTCCGTCTGTCCGTCTGTCCGTCTGTCCGTCTGTCTGTCCGTCTGTCTGTCCGTCTGTCTGTTTCTACGCAAACTAGTCTCTCAGTTTTGAAGCTATCGAGTTGAAACTTTGCACACACCCTTCTTTCCTTTGCACGCAGTATATATGTCGGAACGGCCGGGATCGGCCAACTATATCCTATAGCTGCCATATAACTGATTGATAGGAAATGCCATAACTTTGGTGTTTGTGAAGTTAGGAAGTTGGGATTTTCTATGGGCTTTATATTTGGCCTATCAATCCGACCTACCAAATTTCATAAGGATCGGCCGACTATATCCTATAGCCGCCATATAACTGATTGATCGGAAATGCCATAACTTTGGTGTTTGTTAAGTTAGGAAGTTGGGATTTTCTATGGGTTTTATTTTTAGCCAATCAATCCAACCTATCAAATTTCATAAGGATCGGCCGACTATATCCTATAGCTGCCATATAACTGAACGATTGGAAGTGCCATAACTTTTGTGTTTTTAAAGTTAGGAAGTTGGGATTTTTTATGAGTATTAAGAATGCATCATAAGAATAATTTTGGAGAATATAATTTACAGAATATTCTGCAAGGGTATATCAACTTCGGCTCCGCCCGAAGTTAGCTTTCCTTTCTTGTTTATAGTAAATTATACACATTTAATAAATTTAAGTGACTGATTTTAAGGGAGACCTGAAACTCTTGCGACTAAATACGTATAAAACAAAATCATGCATGCTGCGAGGAATTCGACTGAGTGCGAAAATCGCTTGTGGGGTTAAGTTTATATAGAAACATAAATTAATTTATATTGTAAAACTAACATCAAATAAAAACTTCAAATTATAAACAACATTAATTAGGAACATTTCTGGTCTATTCCTACTTTATTTGATAAATATAGCTCTAAAAATTATAAATTCTAGACTAGTTTAGATAGACAGACAATCGAAATAAATCAACTCTCCTGGTAAAGCTATTCAATAATATATATATACGTTAAAAAGGGAAATGGATTGTCTAGGTAGAGCCGAGCTTTCCGACACGCCCAGCGTACTTAAAGCAATGCCCACCAGCAATTTGATAACCCGAATCCAGCTAAAATATTAAAAGTGATTTTGTCCAAATAAATGCATATTTGCGGAGGGATTTGAGTTGGTTACTACAGCTTGTCTGTTCGACCAACAAAGCGATATGTTCTTGTCTTGGACTCGGTCTTGGCCTTCAATCTTGCTCGGCCCTCAGCTTGGAGCCCTTCCAGGAATCAGAAGTCGCCCGACTGCATCTTCCACGTACGGGGCATTATCGTAAAGACGGCCAGACCAGCATCGCGATGAGTTGAGCCAGGCACGCACAGCCACATCGTCATGCTTGTCTTACACTTGATGCATCCTCATCTCGTCTGGCAGTTCTTCAAAACTTCTCACTGTCTATCCTATCCTATCCCCTTCCCCACTCACTAAGTCGTGGCCTTTTCCAAAACATAATTTTTCAAACGAAATTGTTTTGATTTTCTTGATGCCATAAAAAATGGGAATTTATTACTCGGCGGTCTGAGATTGCAGTCACTGTTTTGGCTCAGACGTCAGATGGGAGTTCATCTGGAGATTTCTGAACTTGGGAGAAATTTTCCTCTACATGGGCAAACAGAGTGGCGCTTATTAAAAAGTTGCTTATTTACTTATCGTAAAATTGGCTGCGATCCGAGTACGAGTTTATAATTAAAATCTATCTATAGCAGTGCTATAAAAGTTCTAGAGTGAGCTACAGATCAATACAAAAAACTTATCCAAGAGACTTGAGCATGAAGCTAACACGGATCTGTTTTCTGGGTAAGTTATAAGTAAAACAAGAAAGGAAAGCTAACTTCGAGCGAAGCCGAAGTTGATATACCCTTGCAGAATACTCTGTAAATTATATTCTCCAAAATTATTCAAATGATGCATTTTTAATACTCATAAAAAATCACAACTTTCTTACTTTAAAACAAGAAAGGAAAGCTAACTTCGGGCGGTGCCGAAGTTGATATACTCTTGCAGAATATTCTGTAAATTATATTCTCCAAAATTATTCATATGATGCATTCTTCATACTCATAAAAAGTCCCAACTTCCTAACTTTAAGAACACCAAAGTTATGACATTTCCAATCGTTCAGTTATATGGCAGCTATAAGATATAGTCGGCCGATCCTTTTGAAATTTGGTAGGTCGGATTAATTGGCCAAAAATAAAACCCATAGAAAATCCCAACTTTCTAAATTTACAAACACCAATGTTATGGCATTTCCGATCAATCAGTTATATGGCGGCTATAGGATATAGTCGGCCGATCCTTATGAAATTTGGTAGGTCGGATTGATTGGCCAAATATAAAACCCAAAGAAAATTCCAACTTCCTAACTTTACAAACACCAAAGTTATGGCATTTCCGATCAATCAGTTATATGGCAGCTATAAGATATAGTCGGCCGATCCTTATGAAATTTAGTAGGTCGGATTCATTGGCAAAATATAAAACCCATAGAAAATTCCAACTTCCTAACTTTACAAACACCAAAGTTATGGCATTTCCGATCAATCAGTTATATGGCAGCTATAGGATATAGTCGGCCGATCCCGGCCGTTCCGACTTATATACTGCGTGCAAAGGAAAGAAGGCTGTGTGCAAAGTTTCAACTCGATATCTTTAAAACTGAGAGACTAGTTTGCGTAGAAACAGACAGACGGACAGACAGACGGACAGACAGACGGACAGACAGACGGACAGACGGACAGACGGACATGGCTATATCAACTCAGGAGGTGATCCTGATCAAGAATATATATACTTTATAGGGTTGGAGATGCCTCCTTCACTGCGTTGCACACTTTTGACCAAAATTATAATACCCTCTGCAAGGGTATAAAAATGTGGTTTACATTTTATTACACAAATCTTTTCACAGTTAGCATTGTTGTCCTGCAATATGCGAAGCACAGTGAAGGGTGCAATGAAGGTGGTCAGAAGGAACATAAACAACCTCATCGAGGTGGCCCATGACCCATGAGAACTACTAAAAGACGTGAGACACCAATGCCTAGGTCTTACACCATCAGACATACAGAGCCTCACAGAAGCAAGAAGACCGAAATCTACAAGGGAAATTCCTAGTGGCCGCATTCATCCAAAGACTCTACCCCACTGTACTGACAAAACTTCTAAGATTCTACCCCACTGTACTAAGAAAACAACTAAGTGGACCAATCCACCTTGTACTAAGAAGACTACTGAAAGGACCAATCCACCTTGCTCAAAGAAAACTTCTGAAAGGACCAATCTACCTTGCACAAATATGACTCCTAAAAAGTAGTGTTCACCGGAGACAACTCATTCTCCGAAGACAACACATTCAACTACCTCTAGGAAACTCTGTGAATGTAGTACCCGTCCACCAGGTTGGAATCCTGGCGGTCCTATTCAGACAACAGCTTCAACGACCTCTCAAAAACGTTGTGGTTGCAATTCAGAACACCCACCTTCGACAACAACCAAGAAACCTTGCGGCTGTGGTCCTATAATACCTATACCCAAAATTCCGGGTCCTTTTGGACCTCGGCCTGTCATTCCCAACAGAGGAGGAAACAGTTGTGGCTCCCCCGAATGTATTCTATTACGATAACGAGGACGGAAGCTAACTTCGGCAAGCCGAAGTTTTAATACCCTTGCAGACTTTGACGAAATTGCTAAAAGTGAAAAAGTAGCGAAAGGAATAAGGTATACATAAGTAAACTAGATTTGCATCGTTTCAAGTCAATTGCTTTTATACTGCAAAAATGTCATATACAAAGGGATACTTTCGCAGCCTTTAACAATTTTTCCTATCTCCTTTAAGATATAGACTTCCGAGCGGCAAGCGCTTTTACCCTAATCAAGATATGTGAAATAAATAAGAATTGGAAAATTTTATGTTAGTAGCTTACACACTGCGCGAAATATTCTGATAATCATCAAATTTGGACCGATTTCACCCTATTGTTCCTATGGGAGCTATAGGATATAGACGTCCGATCGGCACGCGCTTTCACCTTGATCAATGTATGCATAAAAAAATAGGATTTGGAAAGATTCATGTCAATAGCTTGTATACTGCGTAAAATATCCTAAAAATCATTAAATTTTAACCGATTTTACCCTTTTGTTCCTATGGGAGCTATAGGATATAGACGTCCGATCGTCACGCGCTTTTACTCTGATCAAGGTACGCATAAAAAATAAGATTTGGAAAGATTTATGTCAATAGCTTTACACTGCGCGAAATATCTTCCATTCTTGCAAGTTATATCCGATTGTTCCTATGGGAGCTATAGGATATAGACATCCGATCGGGGCGGTTTTCAAACTTGATCTGCGTACACTTGTTTTAGGACGACTGTGAAAGTTTCAGATCGCTAGCTTTTAAACTGAGCTCGCAAACGGTATTGAAACAGACGGACAGACGGACAGACGGACATGGCTATATCGACTCCCCTATTGATCCTGATCAAGAATATATATACTTTATAGGGTCGGAAACGTCTCCTTCACTGCGTTACAAACTTCTGACCAAAATTATAATACCCTCTGCAAGGGTATAAAAAACCAATGTCACGAAAACCGACTGAACGATTTTTAAACCAAAGTTACTATTCAATTGTTGTTCAATTGACTAATAAAATAAATTGTTGTGCATTTAAGTGATTGGTGAACGTATGTACTGACCATAGTTTCTAATAAACTTGAATTTAAATTTAATTCTTTTGCATATAATGGGTCTTAAGTTTCCTGTGCTTCAGAAGAATTTTCTGTTAAGTTGATTTAATGAAACTGAGCAAGGCATGGCCTCTCAATATGCTTTTAATTTAAACTGTGTGAACGCGTATGTGTCCATATGAAGTGCTTTTTAAATACTTGTAGCGGTTTAAGCTTTTACCCTTGCCAGCCATCGGACCAACTGCCCGACCCAAAACTCCCACCCGACACCCACTTCAGTTCACGTCATGAACATGATTATGTACTTTATGAATGTGCAGAGGGGCGAATGCAGTATCTAAAACTTAACGATTTTAAGATACTCTTATAAAGTGAGTAAAAAAATTTGATTTAAATATGTCTTTTTACTTTTAACCATATTCATATTTAATTTCAAATAAACTATAAATTATTAAAATATGTCAATTGTCAATCTCACTCAAAAGACAGATAGATTGCTATTAATTCGATTAACTTATTAAAATATGTACATTAATTAAATAATTATATTTTAAGTATATAATAAATTTAATTTGTTTTTAAATTAGCTTAATATAACAGTAAAAATGTCAAAATCAAATCAAAGTACATTCTATGAACATTATCTAAACGATATATAGTTTTAAATAGTCCCTATTTTTCCTTAAATTTTAGAACACCCATTACCACGCATTCAATAGTTTCGATATCTACTGATTACAATTTAATTCATAACTAAAAGTTATTGATTAAGTAGACATTAAAAAACGCTTTAATTTATAAGATTATAACTTGAAAATCCTATTTCTTATGTTTATAGGATGATAAGGAGACCCCTTTAAATGTCAGGGCATAGGTGGTCATGATTTTTCCACTCTGCCTGTGCCAACTGCTTATATAATATTTGAAAATTGAAAATCTTTTAACGCTGCACTTGAAAAATGCTTAGACCAGGCCATGATGATGAACTTTATAAAACTCTTGACCACATTTGCCGCACCCGTCGCCTCCCGTCCCATTTCGACCGTCTTTCCCTTCCACTTTGAACATGTCTGACCAGCTGACGTCCAAAAAAGTGGTCAGAGGAGGGCCAAAATGGACCGGAGATTGGGGGATTCGGGGCTGGGGTATACTGAATGCATTGCACTTGACTTTAGCGCCACTTGTAAGTGTAAATTTTATTTGAGCCAGCGGAGTAGGTACACATGTAGACACTCACATTCAACTTCAACCATGCCCTTTGTCAAGAGCTCCAAAGTGCCTGGCCAGCGATATTGGCGTTCGCACTCGGACTTGGTCTTGGACTTGGACTTGGAAACATTTTGGACTCAGTTTCGTTGGCCCGGAGTTTGGCATCGTGTCGCTGACAGCTAAGTGGTGATAATCGCTTTTGAATTGAATCTGAGCAAGTAAATTTACACGCAGACCAAGTTGAAATTCAAAAATGCAACAGAGGAAAGATCCGAGAGTTTGGACACTGGCCGTCGGACAAAAGACGTCACTTGTTTGGCTTTGTTCTGTCTTTTTTTGGGTGGGCGTTTTGGTTTTTGTGTTTTGGCTGCGGCTTTATTCCAAAAGACCAGTTAAGGGGGTTCCGAGGATGGGGGCCACTGCGGTTTGTTTGGCTGGTTGCTGTGGCTTCTAATTTGTGAACTGGATTTGCGGCTTCAAGGAACGGATGGACGACGGCTCAGCTGGACTTGTAAGTCATTAAATCAGGGTTTAAGGCCCTTAGCCCGACCTCTTGAATAGTTAAAAAGCTTAAATTACAATTTGCTTAAACTAGCCGAAAATTATTCAAAAAAAAAAAACATTCTTAAATGAAAATGTCATAAAGCCCATAAAATTTACAATTTTCTTAATAAGTTAGACATTCTGTCGAAACTCAAAGGACCCAATGTCTGAAGTTTAGTATATAAAATTGTATTCCACACAACAGTATTCTTTCTAATAAATACATTTTGTTATTTCAATGCTCTCTAATTGTTTTTATTATTATTCAGTTTTAAGATAAAGTGAATTTCAATCAGTTAATACGATCCATGCCAGCGAGTTCAGCAATGTCATTACAATTCATGCGTCGATCCAATCCTAAAGGCAAGAAAAATGTTCATACAAAATTAAAGACCCTTAAGGATTATTTCAAACTTACCCTGGCAGTTGAGCCTGGTGAGCTCGCAACGTCCTACATTCCTCCAGCGCCAATTCCTTCGGGTCTTTTCCCTGCATTCCCTATTGAGGACGGGCAACTCACGATCGTTTTGATTATTCAGCCTTTCCACGCATAATTCACACCTCCGAGTCAATTCATCGCAGTTCCTACGTTGTCCAGCGACCAAAGTCAGACACAGGACTATAAGCCAGATATTAAGTTGGTAATTGAAGCAACAAATTTGCGAAAGTGTTAAGTCCAAACTTACCAGATAACACGGCCAAAATAGTTTTGATATGCATTGTTTAAGCTTGGTGGCTCTTGATTGGAACTTATCAGATACCTGACTACCGAAGACTTGGCACCAACCCGACTTTATATAAACACCAATCAATGTACTAAGGCTAGTAAAACAGATGTTTCGCAACAAAAGATGTTTAAAGTTCTTGAATTAAATCTTCTTAAATAAAAGATCTTGAATACAATTTCGTAATATAGCAACAAAAGCTTTACAAAATGGCCAGCAAACCTTTTTAATAATTCTTTATAAATTAGGTCATCTTTTGAGCGCATTTAAGGGCTTACTTCCTGATTATAATAAAGGCATATTCATATAATAGGCACAGGTTTTCCTGAAGGCTGCCAAGCACTTTATAAAAGCCCAAGTGCGAACTCCATTTCAGCAGTGAATTTAACTGACTTCCCAATAGCAATACCAAGATGTCGAACGTAACACTTATTTTTGGTAAGGACCTAGTTGGAGCTGTGAAATTTTAGTAGTATATTAAAAAACCCATTGCAATTCCAATATAGCTATAGCTTGCCTTTGTGTGGCTGTTCAGGCTCAAACTGGTAGGCCGCGGGATCGGGAGATTTGTGCGAATGAAAACAGTAGGTGCGAACGTAATCAACGTCGGTTGGGAAGGGACAATGATGTCTCCAACGTCTTCAACAATCACTGCCGTCAGTCTAATAGAGGCTGGCGTAACATCTCTCACTGCGAGTTGACTTTGGCCACTTGTCGCTGTGAGTATCCCAGCCACGTATTTTTGAAAAAAGACTTATATTTAATTAACATCCATTTACAGTGACACTCGAAAATTGTAGCATCATAAACTGCGCGAATGTGAGAAGGAGCCTTGCGGGTGGTACCACCGGTCGCCCGACTCCTTCTTCGCGAACCACGACTCCCAGGATTCCATCTCCTCAAACTACTCGTAGGGGCCCAGTAACCAGGACTCCATCTCCTCGAACTACTCGTAGGGGCCCAGCAACCAGGACTCCATCTCCTCAAACCACTCGTAGGGGCCCAGTAACCAGGACGCCAGCTCCTCGAACTACTCGTAGGGGCCCAGCAACCAGAACTCCTTCCCCTCGTCGTACTACAACCCGTCGCCCACTAGAAGACTAAAACTCTTGAGATCGAACTGAACTGCACCAAAAGAAAAGTTAACTAACGTCTATATTATTACAAACAAATAAACATTTCAATGCTCTCTAAAAGATTATGTTTTGGTTTGTCTATTCTGCGGCTTTCACTCGATGAAACTTTACAAATCTGCTAAAAAAAACTTTTGCAATACCACTATACACCTAGGTCATCTTTTTAGTGATTTCGAGGGCATAAAAAAAATCCCTTACTGAACATAATACAAGAATACAAGTTGTTCTGAATACTGTTGAGCTCTACAAAACCCAACCGCAAACTTAATTTCAGCATTGACTTACCAGCAGTAATACCAAGATTTCGAAAATTTCTCTTATTTTCGGTAAGAATCTAGCTGACGCTATTAGCTATAACAACTGGATGGTATATACAATACATTGTAGTATTTTAAACTGTGTGAGTGTGAGATCAAGCCTTGGACTTGAATAGACTGGGTACTACGTAAAGCCCAAGAATGTGGGACTACCATTCCTCAAATTCGCGGAACTACCAATCAAAGTACTCCTGGAAGTAGGACTTCTTATTCTCGCTATACTACCAATCGTAGGTCCAAAGACTGTCATGCAGAAAAACGCTAAGATGTGTATTATTGCAATGCAGAAAACGTTTCAATGCCCTATTTAAGGCTTTAAGTTGTCTGATCTGAGAATTCTTTTTTCTTTCCGATTATTATAATGTTTTTTTTACGTAAAACATATTATTCTATTGCCTTTAATGTAGTTCAAGATCAGGAAACAACGGCCCCTTTTTAATTTGTTAATTTAATTTAGTCTTTAACAATACATGGTTTTACAATACTAATATAAATATACTAAGTCAATCAAACAACAATTATACTATCATCGTTGCTATCAGACTCCGTTGTGGTTTCTTGGGTACTAGTTGTACTAGTACTAGTACTTATTTTTGTAGACGCAATGTCACTCACTTTCAACTCTTTGGCCAGACTTATCGAATTAGTTGTGTAGATATCGCTTACACTTTGTGGCCTTTCCAATCCAATAACTTTCATTATATTCTTCGATTTATTCCTGTAGTCAACATTGGGAACCGACGAGTAAAAGATGAGTCCGGCCAGGCAAACTCCAAGTGCCATTCCAACCAAAAGACAGACGCAAGACTTCTTGTTGGAACGTCCTTTTAGTAGAACATTAATTAATATTATAACTTAATTAAAAAAAACAATTACCTTCATTTAGGAGGGATCTGGTGGCCAGTTTGCTATTTAACTTAGCGGAGCTTATTGGGATCATTTTTGATCAAGGTGTTTTATTCGAATAAATGAAATACCTGTTGTATTCCGTCTTTTCATTTAAATTTCGCGTCATTGAAACAATTGAATAAACATAAGTTCAAAATGCATACGACGTAAGTAGCCAAATGTGCACACGAGGTACTTAAACTCGTTCGAGTTTGCAAAAAAAAAGTTAAAGAAGTAAATAAATATAGACTCAAATGTCAGAAGAGACTTTACAAAAATACAAGAAACTCCACAGTCAAAGATAAAAGGAAAATATATTTAAATAAATACTATATTAAATATAATTAAATTTAATCTTTAATACACATACATTTTATTCACTACACTTTAGTTAAATATTTACTATGCATTAACTTTATTTACTATATGGATATCTAAATATTTATCAAAAAATAGTTTTTTGTCCCAAACTTACAACATAAGGAATTCAATAAAAGATTGGAAACTCTAATATAAAGTTCCACCTTCTTATTATTACGGATTTATTTTCAGTTCCCAATATGTAACCATTTGTGAAATATAAACAAAAAAAAATTATAGTTTCTACTATGAATACAATATTACAAACCAAAATAAAGTAGAGAGCATTGAAGTGTTTATTAATTCACAGGAATACAGATTTAATTTGGTTTTCTGAATGATGCTTTCGTCCGTTCGAGGGGCCTTACTCGTTGGGTCGCCTTGTCAGGACTCGCCTTACATTATCGCAGGACAAGGTCTCACATCGTTCAAGGGTCACTGCACAAAGAAATATTTAAAGATTAAAGCTGATCATTTTTAAGGATAAGTAAACCTTAAAGCCCTTACATTGACAAGTGGCCCATGCGAGTTCGCATCTGGAGATGTTGCGCCAACGTCTGTCTAAACGGCGACAGTTTTCATTGAAGATGTCTGAGACATCATTGGTCCTTCCATTTCTTTCGGCCCTGGAGTCACATCTTTCCCTGATCCGCCTGCAAATCTCCCTATCCTGGGCTTGGACGGCCACGCAAAGGCAAATGAAAGCTAAGCCAGGATTTAATTAGTATTTTCAACAAAATGAATAAAAAATCGCCAAATGGTCTTACCAATAAACAGTATGATCTTCGACATGGTGATTTTCCAGTTAAAAACTCGCTTAAGTTCTGTGCTGAAAACGAGCCTGTACTTGGGCTTTTATAAAATGCACTTCTCTTTAAGGGAAAAAGCTGCATTTCTTTTTTTGAATACGTGTCTTTATTATATTCAGAAGACAGAGTAAACGGTCTTTTCAATTTGATTAAAAGGTGTCCTATTTTAAAAACATTTCCTGAAACCTTTCCTTCAGTTATAAAAGGTGTTATTTTTGATTTCAATACTTGCCACATGTTTTAAAACATCTGCCCTGCGTAATCCACTTTGTTTTTGGTGTTTATATAAAGTCAAGTCTGATTGTAGACTTATGTAGTTAGCTAACTGATAAGTTCCCGTCATTACAAGCTGAAACAATGCATCTGAAAACCATTTTCACCGTATTTTCTGGTAAGTACGGGTCGGAATCATTCGCGATTTTGTCCAATTTCTTCCATTTCAAATAACAATTTCGATTCTGGCTTGTAGTCCTTTGCCTGACTTTGGTTGCTGGTCAAGAACGGGATTGTAGGGAACTGGAACGCAGTTGTGAAAGATGCGTGGATAGGGTGAGCAATCCAAATGATCGTGAGTTGCCGGTCTTCAATAGGGAGTGCAGGGAAAGGACACGAAGGACTTGGGTCTGGAGAAATGTAGGACGCTGTGAGCTCTCTAGACTAAACTGCTTGGGTACGTTTTTTATAATTCCTACACATAAGTCATTCTTTTTTACCATAAACTTTTTTACTTGTAGGTTGGGACCGACGCATGAACTGTGGTGAAATTGCAGAATTGGCTGGCATGCGCAGGATCAGATCTGATTGATCACCAACTAATGATTAAACGACTGATTAATAAATAACAAGAAAGGAAAGCTAACTTCGGGCGGAGCCGAAGTTGATATACCCTTGCAGAATATTCTATAAATTATATTCTCCAAAATTATTCATATGATGCATTCTTAATATTTAAAAAAAGTCCCAACTTCCTAACTTTAAAAACAACAAAGTTATGTCATTTCCAATCGTTCAGTTATATGGCAGCTATAAGATATAGTCGGCCGATCCTTATGAAACTTGGTAGGTCGGATTGATTAACCAAATATAAAATCCATAGAAGATCCCAGCCTCCTAACTTTACAAACACCAATGTTATGGCATTTCCGATCAATCAGTTATATGGCAGCTATAAGATATAGTCGGCCGATCCTTATGAAATTTGGTAGGTCGGATTGATTATCCAAATATAAAATCCATAGAAGATCCCAGCCTCCTAACTTTACAAACACCAATGTTATGGCATTTCCGATCAATCAGTTATATGGCAGCTATAGGATATAGTCGTCCGATCCTTATGAAATTTGGGAGGTCGGATTTATTAGCCAAAAATAAAACCCATAGAAAATCCCAACTTCCTAACTTTAAAAACACCAAAGATATGGCATTTCTGATCGTTCAGTTATATGGCAGCTATATGATATAGTGGCCCGATCCGGCTCGTTCCGACTTATATACTACCTGCAATAGAAAGACAACTTTTGGGAAAGTTTCAAGCAGATAGCTTTAAAACTGAGGGACTAGTTTGCGTAGAAACGGACGGACAGACGGACAGACGGACAGACGGACAGACGGACAGACGGACAGACGGACGGACAGACGGACGGACAGACGGACAGACGGACATGGCTAGATCGACTCTCCTGGTGATGCTGATCAAGAATATATATACTTTATAGGGTCGGAAATGTCTCCTTCACTGCGTTGCAAACTTTTGACTGAAATTATAATACCCTCTGCAAGGGTATAAAAAAAAACCTAGAGAGCATTGAAGTAAAACTTTTGTTTTATTCGCATCACCTACACAACAAAAAAAATTTTAAACGTTCCTACAAATTATTTGTCACATTTATAAATTAAACAAACTAAGTTTCTTCATGCCACTGATGCATCGCATAACGCACTATTCGATCTTCTACTTCAAGTTCATCGGCTCGATCGTTCTGATGAATCAAATTATTGGGTAAATCCGAATCTTCTTGATTATTTTCATCATCAAGTGTATTATGTTCATCAAATTCACCAACAACATCGAATTCAGTGGTTAAATGGTCATCGTACGATTGGATGTTAGTATCAGATGATATATTGATTTCTGGTTGATCAAATGTTAAATGATCATAACTTTCATTGTGATCATCATTAACTTTAACTTCATTATCGTTATCAAGATATTCCATATCAGGCCGCGTTAAATGATCATCTGGCGGCTCTTCAGGATCAATATAATCTTCAGGTTCACTATTGGGTTGTCCAAAGTCTATGGATTTACAAATTGATTGAACAGATTTTTTTGTTAATTACCCTTTACTTTACCCATTAGAAGAAGAAAGCACAGTACAATACAATTTATAGAAAATCCCATATTTACTTCCTCCGTATATGTTATAGCTTTAACCTAAAATATAATACTGATGGCTGGCATATTAAAATTCATTGCATTTGTTATTGCTAGCTTTTTTCATATTTAAACAGCATACATTAAATGTGTTTATGCTGTTTACCTAGAATTATTTACCAAAACAAAAATTATAGCCTAGGGATCGAGGCTTCGAATACCCTTACACTTAGTAAATCAAACAAAATTGTAAAAAGGAGTTTTATAATATAAACATTTTCAAAGCATACGCTATTTAAATTCCTATGTTATCTTAAGATCATATATTTTTCAGCCTTAAATTAAGATGTATAACTGTCGTCTGGAATGGGAACTTGCGACGTATATAACTTGGTACATTTTTTCCAGTATTTACACAGCATTTTTTATAAATGTATACAAGAGATATATTAATAAACATATTTTTTAGTAAGAAATAATATATTAATAGTACCAAAGAATGAATACATACTTCTTCTTTAACTAATTTTTTCATATCTAATGATTCTATGGCGAATTCTGATGTACAGGTCACCGAGGATTTTCTATAACTCGCGTAATTTTTTTAATAAATAAAAAGTAATTCAATAAATAAAACAACTCTTTCCTTATCGCCAAAAAATAAATACAAATTTTCTGGCTTGCACCGAGTTAAACAAGTTAAATGAGGTACTTTTTTAAATAAAAACAAGAGAGAACGCTTGCTATCAGATACCCGTTACACAGGTAAAGGGAGGCGAGGAGATGGAGATAAAACTTTATCACGCATAACTTTTTAACGAATGGTCCGATTTGAAAAATTTCTTCTACATTTCGATAGGTATTGATAAACACAATAAAACTGCATTTTTACTTTTCCGAAATATTTAAATTTTTAAAATCGTATATAAGCGATTGTGGGCGTTAAAGGGGGGGTGGCACCATTTTGAAACAAACTTGCGCTGCGTAGGAACTCCTAGAATCTGCATGCAAAATGCCAATCTTCTAGCTTTTATAGTTTCCGAGATCTCAGCGTTCATACGGACAGACAGACTGACGGACAGACAGACGGACTGACGGACAGACGGACAGACGGACATGGCTATATCTACTCCCTATCAAGAATATATATACTTTAAAGGGTCGGAAACGCTTCCTTCTAGCTGTTACATACTTTTGCACGAATACGATATACCCTTTTACTCTACGAGTTTTTTATTTTTTTTTTTTTTTTTTTTTAATTTTCTTAAACAAATTTGTTTAAAAAACCCTCTTCCAAAGGTTTATAAAAACTTCTTACCACTGGCTCATTAGAGTTACCACTGGAGGAGAATTCCACCACATCCGATCGTGGCTGAGAATGAGTTACTATATTAATGCCTCTCGCAAGTAAACAAAAGTCGGTCAAAATTCGGCGAGAGGAAAACGCCGAACAGGCCTGTCTGGCTTAAAAATAAAAACGAAATAGCAAAATCTGGCAGGCAGGCGTTAATACGGGTACAAAGTTGTTTAAACAAGAGACGAGATTCCGTCGCTCAATCTATCTGCCTAAATACACAATGTGATAACGCAGATAGCGGGCATTAAAACAATTTTTTCAAACTGCGGTTCAGTCGTCAGCTGTTGTCGCTCTTTTTCACACACAAAACCGAATTCGTAAATCTAAAAACCGAAACGCCAAGGAATAAAATAAATAGTACATATATGGACTAAGTGTAGAGCAGTGCAACTTGTTCAGTTTGCTGGCGGGTTACCAAGTTTACGGTCTCTTTTGGCGGCTTAATATATTCGGGCAGTTCGGCTTATAGTAAACTACCAAAGTGATTGATTGATTAACATACTGATTGAGTGAGTGAAGCAATAATGGCTAATTATACAGTGGTGCGTGTGACCAAAGTGCAGCCATATCTGCATACGGTGGGCAGTAGTTACGCGGCTTTGGCCAATGTCGATGGCTTTTACTCGCCGACCTTGGAGGCCGGATTGGTGGACTTCCATGGCAATGGGAGTGGAAGTGGCAGTGGCAGTGGAACGCATGCCAATCTCACGGCGGATAGTGTGTTGGTCCTCATCGGAGATGAGAACTATGGCTATCGGTCCACCTCGACCATAGTGCTGATGGTTTCCGCCTGGATCCTGCTGATTCTGGGCTTTGTCTTCTGCTGCTGCGCCGAGTGCTGCGGCGTAAGCGTTTGGCGGGGCAAAAAGACACGGCCCAGCATCGACGGCTTAAATCAGGTGGAACAGGGTGGGAGTGCCGCCGCCCACGATTCCACTGCAGGTGAGTGTCCAAGTTCATATCATCGAAGCTTTTGTTCGGGATTCGTTTGCATACTTTTAGGCAGCCATGAGATATTGATTGGCCCTGGGGAGGCAGGCAAGTTTGGATAACTGCAATCATATTTCACGAATATCCCATAAATGGCAACAATAAACGAGCAGCCACAGGGATATCCAAGATTTCGCCAGTGCTATATACCCTTTGGCGCTTTTGTGCATTAGCAATATGTCGCAATTGCCTAATCAATTTTTTTTTGTCCAGAAATCACTAGTACAGAAACTCTAAGTCACACGCTACATTACTCAGCAATAATGTTCAATTTATTATATTATAATAACAACTTTTAATTTAATTTAAATTTTATTTTATGGCTTTAACCTTTAACTTGTTTAAATTTGTAAACTCTGGTTAGCATCTACTTAAAAATTTTTTTATTTTAAATTCCGAACTATAAAGAAATAATGACTTTTGATATTATTATATGAAATTTAAATAATTTTATACGAACTTTTACAAAGCTTCTCTAAACGATTTAAGTTTAATATCTAAGAAGTGATCTAAAACATGGGTCAACATTTTATTGACTCCCAAAATATGAAGGGTATAAAAACGCATTTGAATGGCCTGTCAATGCGCTTTGCTGGCATTGCTGAACTACTTTTCAAACAACACGAAGGGGCTTCTGTGTGTTTGGGAGTTTCTCTGCGGAATTGCCTGCCTCATCGATATCATAAAATATTTAGCAATTTCTCTTATTTCGTTTCGCTTCGTTTTTGGCAAATTTGGCATGCGTTTTGGCTGAAAATTGGCTTTTGGCCAAGTTAACGAAACGTTCAGAGGAATGAATGCCTCTCCACAAACATTTGCACATAAACATAACAGCCCAGCTCGCACATACACACTGACAAAAATTGTATTAATGTATCCGAATTACATTAAATTTTTATTTATAAATAAGATTTGAATATTGTTTTCTGGTCTTATTAACATATATTTACAATATATTTTTCATTCTCGACACTGCCAGCATTTCAATATAAGTGTATAATACTATAGTATATAAGATAATTCAAAATGAATTAAGAATATAATTATATGTTTAAAGTTTATTTACATTTTATTAAATCAATAATGGTATATGGCATAACACAAGGTCTTCGTAAATTTGTATGAACTTTTTTAGAAATTGGCAGATAACTTCCAAGATTGTTGTATGTTGAGAAACATTGACATCTAAGATAACAAATAAAACATTGATAGGCCAATATCTGGACATCGTTTTAGATAAATCGTGCATTAGAATGTTTAATATTTTTCTCTGTGCAGAAAACGGTAGAATTTCGTCCGATAATATGGTTGCATTTGCTGCTGGTTGCACTCAATGCAGCTTCTGTTTGCATCGTTGGCAATTAGCATTGTCTCGAAGATATTGCGTTTCATTAGTGCGATATGTGTTCGAGAGTGTTTGTTTGCGTCTGTGTGTGTGGGAGCCATGCAGTCAATGGGTCATTTCGATAACGGCAAAATTTGTTGCAAAATTTGTTTGGTATTTAAGCCGAAACTGGGATTTGTGTATTGTGCGGCTGCCAGAAGCTTAAGTTGTTGCACTTTGGCATGGCTTCTGTCGATTTTTGGTGTGCTTTTGTGTTCTGGCATTTCGGCCTAAAACCCAAACTGTATTTGAGCCAATTGCCAGTAAGCCCAGATGATAGGTTCAAAGTGCACATAAATAGTGTTTGGTTATGCCCATTTACGTTCAGAATAGTGTGTTCAATTAGAATCGGTGACGATTGCAGAGGACATCTAATGTGTTTCTGAAAACTATAGAAGAACAGAAAAGCATACAAAAAATCACTACAATATCTGTGAATATGAACTTTAAGTTCTACTATGCCTCAAACTATCTCAATATCATTGCGTTTCCTTTAGAGATGCAGAAAACATCGCCAATGTTTACCTGTTAAAACATCGGAAAGGCAATGTTTTCTGCATCTCTAGTTTCCTTTCATCTTTGAATTTATAATCTACTTATTGTAAAATAATTGTATATATTGTAAAGCCCATTGGGCTGTGAATAGCTCTAAGCAAATAAACAAACAAATAAATTAACTTCAATCTTAACGAATTAAAGGAAGGCAATTTAAAAACCAAACCAAAAAGTTCATAGCTTACTTGCTTAGTTTACTTCACAACCCTTATTTAAATGATAGAAATGTAGTTTTCCTGAAATTTTAAAACCAGAGAAAATTTTATACAAATGGTCTGCTCAGCCTCAATGAAACAAGAGGAACATTTGTCAACCTTATTATCACACCGATTGCAAAATGCGAGATCAATAATCCTTCTAACCTACATAACATATTTCTTTTTATCTACCTTTCTGCGGGGTAAATTCAATTTATACGCCTGAGCGCATTTGGCCCATTTCGATAACAACATAAGAATCGTCTTAGTATGTCAGTGCAATAAATTCTTCCACTTTCGTTTCGAACTGGGGCCACAAAACGTGCCCGGGTCTTGTAGAGCTCCCCGTCCAATAGTTGCCTAGTTAATGCCCCTGTTCTGTATTCTCTATCTGCCCCACACGGGAAACTTAAAGTTGAAAGCCATAAAAATTGCGCAAAGTCACAAATGTTTTATGAAACTTTTTATTTTCTTGTTTTTTTATATATATATTTTATTT